ATTAAAAAATAAAAATTAATTTTTATTTAAATAATTATTTAATTAAAATAATTTATATGACATTAGTGTCAAAATTAATGATAATTTTTATATTTTTTAATGTTAATTAATGTTAAAAATTATAATAATTACATTATTAATATGTACTGTAAGAGTACAAATTAAAAAAATCTTTTTAAGAAAATAAATTTTATTTTCAAAACAAATTCTACATTAAATATTTTAATTAAATGATTAATAAAATTAAAATGATTTTTTATTTTTATATACATTAATAATAAAAAATACAATAAATAGATACCTAACTTTTGTAATAAAAGCACATGATATAAAATTCCATAACCATTTTATCTTGAAATCTCAAATTTCCTTTGAAAAAAAAAAAGACATGTAATTGATCAAAACTAAAATTTGGACCTAAATTGATTGTCAAGAAAAAAGTTAGGGACGAATTAAGAACTAAAAATTATACTGTAAAAATAATTTAACCATTAAAAATAGGAAGAGAAAGACAAATAATTTTCTAAATAGGATTTATGCAATACAGTTAGAAATGCATATTAAAAGCGTAATATATTGTATAAATTTATTAAAATATTTTTAATAAGATAATATAAAAAAATAATTTTATAAAAAATATTTTAATAAATCTATAAAAAAAAATACATTTTTAATTTAAGGTAATATATATATATTTTTTTTTCTGAATTCTGATGCTCATTTTCCCTGCGGGTTGGGCTGGGTTGAGCTGGGTTGGGCCGACCCTGTGCGAACTGAGCCTGTGGCCACAACACAGCGCGCGTGGTCAGCATTTTCCCTCTGCCTTGGAGCTGCACCGCCTCCATTTTTCTCAGGAATAAACACGAAAATCGTCATCTCTCTATTCTCCCTCGGAATCAACCGTAGGCGTAATACTACTATAACCAAACCACCATGGCCTCCTCCGTCGTTTCTCGGCCACCATCGTCTTTTTTCATCGACGGCAAGGTTAGCTCTTGCACGACATCTCTCACTTTCTAGCGATATTTTCTCTTACCGGGTGGTCCATTTTTGGTTTTTTATTGTTTGTTTACAGTAATGAACATAACCCAGGTTTAAAGTGTTGATCTTTTTTGGTTTTTACTAGAAAGATTTGGGTCTTTCTGCTTTCCTTTCAACATCCCAGATTTTGATTCGGAAATGCAAGAAACCAGTATCCAGGAAAATCGTGTCGGTCATGGCACCACAACAAACAGAACGCACACCAGCCACCACTGGCTCGGTTAGTCTCCTTTCCCCTCGTTGATTTTATGCTGATTGAGTTGTAAGTTTTGATTATTTTGTTTAATCTGAGTGTTGGGTTTTTCAGGTCAAGTCTGCAATGACAATGACAGAGAAGATTTTTGCTAAGGCCTCTCAGAAATCCCAGTTGAGCCCTGGTGAAAATGTTTGGGTTAATGTTGATGTGTTGATGACACACGATGTTTGTGGCCCTGGTTCCATTGGTATCTTCAAGAAAGAATTTGGTGAAAATGCTAAGGTATTTCATTATTCTGGTAGCTTGTTTGTCTTTCCTGTCCCTCGTTTGCATTTCTTCTATGAAAGCAATTCTATCTTCATTGCAGTTGTAGTGGTTTAGTGTCTGAATCTCTGGTTTTGTCTTGTGTAATTTAACCTGTTTCATTTCTTCATAATTTATTCTACTTGGCTGGGTAACTTCAATACAATTCTTGTATCGTAGAATTGTATCTTTTAGCCTTGAATTGAGATTATGTGTAAGCCCAAGATTTTGCTTTACAGACAATATTTGGGATTTTGTTACAACTTGCCATTTCCCCAAAAGATATTGTGCAGTTAAATCTCTGAGTCATTTACATTCTCAAGTTGTCTTTATGCATTCATAACTGTCTATTTGTTTGCTGAATTTACTAACAGTGGCACTGTTTATTTTGGTATTCAAGGTTTGGGACCGTGAAAAGATTGTTATTATACCTGATCATTATATATTCACAAGTGATAAACTGGCAAATCGCAATGTGGATATTTTGAGGGATTTTTGCACTGAACAAAATATCAAGTATTTCTATGACATCAAAGATCTTAGTAATTTTAAGGTATGGCCCTCAGGCCCCTCCATATTTTAGTTTGTTCTTTTTTCTTGTCCATATCCGTGATGAATTTGCAGTGCTTTCTTTGTTTTGAATTTACTTCATAACTTTGCAGGCAAACCCTGATTATAAAGGTGTATGTCATGTTGCACTTGCCCAAGAAGGACACTGCAGGCCTGGAGAGGTTGTGATATCTGTATTGAAGTTGGAATTTTGAAGCTGTATTTTTTTGTCTTGTGTTTTGGAACTGCCATCAAATTTTCCTGTGCTGCCTTAGGTTTTGTTGGGGACAGACTCTCACACCTGTACTGCTGGAGCTTTTGGCCAATTTGCTACAGGAATTGGTAACACAGATGCAGGTTTTGTGTTAGGCACAGGCAAGCTGTTGCTCAAGGTTGTTACTATTTTAATGTTTTAGTTACACGTATATGCTTTTTGTCTTGCTTTGTATGATCTTTAATGTTAAATATTTATCTTCCAACTAGCTTGCATTATAAATCTTGCAAACTGAATTATAAGGTTTGAGTTATGTTAACAAGTTCCTGAAAGTTGTGTATTTTCTGACTCTGAAATTTGGTTGTATCCTACCATAATTAGCTGCTTATTTGCATGTAATTCATTTCGTCTATGATTGCAGGTCCCACCAACACTGAGATTTGTAATGGATGGTGAAATGCCCCACTATTTGCTTGCAAAGGATTTGATTTTGCAAGTAAGTTCATTATGTTTTCAGGCAGCTGTTTCATTTGGACAAGAATAGACTCATAAAGGTAATCTTGCGGAGATATTAACCTTGTTCTCAAAATCTATTGTCATTTCACAGATTATTGGGGAAATTTCTGTAGCTGGTGCAACATATAAATCCATGGAGTTTGTCGGCACAACTGTTGAGAGCTTGACTGTAAGTGAGCTTGATGCGATCTCTACTTTAAGTTTGGTTATTCTGTAGTTTCTATGTGGATATTTATTAGACAGAAGCAACTCACAAATTAACTTCTTTATTATATATATTGGATAGATGGAAGAAAGGATGACGTTATGCAATATGGTCGTTGAAGCTGGTGGAAA